CAGTTCAGCCCATGCTCTTTCCATACGTGACCAGGCCTTTCTGTATGGCCTCCTTCCAAAGCCACAGGACCAGATTACTAACAGCTCCCAAAGGTCCTCATTACAGAATGGGCACCTTTACCCACACCTGCTGACACACACACGACTTATATCTGGTCACAAGGTATGCTTGATTAAGAATAGAAAACATAATTGATGAAACAGTCCTAGCTCCCATGGACCAGATTCTTTATCTGATGTCTCCAACTTCCCATCCCACTCAGCCACAGCAGTCTTCACTGTAACCCAGGTCTGCCCATTCCACATTTTCCTGGGCTTAAGTTTATACTTTTTGTTGTCTGAAAGGCTAGTGAATCTCCACAGTGGATCCAGCCCCTGGGAGGGAACTATGCATAGTTCCCTGGACAGCCAGTGGTCTGCAGCTAACAGGCCCTGTCTGGCTGTGAGATTTTAGGGACTTTGACAGTGGGTGGTTATGGGAAGTCTTTGATAGAGTGGCAGAGAGATCTGTAGAGATCTCTGAGAAGGTCACTTCCTTGTCTGCCTTATGCTTCCTCCTCACCTGCCCCGCCATGCGTGACTGTTGCTTCTTTGCCTACAGGTTCTCTTTTACTTGAGAGTTTAAAGGATCACATATCCACTACTGCCCAGGACCACTGCAAAGCCATCTACCTGCATGTCCTCACCACCAACAACACAGCAATAAGCTTCTACGAAAACAGAGACTTCAAGCAGCACCACTATCTCCCCTATTACTATTCCATCCGTGGGGTCCTCAAAGATGGCTTCACTTATGTCCTCTACATCAATGGTGGCCACCCTCCCTGGACCATCTTATATCCTTTTCTTCTCAGGGGTGAGAGACAGTGGCTTCCTAGCATCAGCTGGAGCTGTGGTTGCTTTCAGATGACATTCACAAAGCAAGCTCACAGGATGCATTTTTTTCTGATGAGATGATGTGGGTAGATCTGATTTGCATGTATTAGGAATTGATGGTCTGGTTGCAGATATTGGGAAAGCAGACATGCTCTGGCATTCATTGTTCCCTGGACTTGAGCCCAGTAGAAGAGGTGGATTTTTAATTCTCCTGGTCCAAGATCCACCCCTCCATTTGTCCATCTATTTACCCAATAAGTATTGGTTGAGAGTCTCCTGTTCCTGCTATGTGTGATCTACAATAGTGAACAAAATAGACAAAGCCCCTGCCCTGGTGGGGCCTGCATGCTGGCAGGGGAGAAGGCAAATGAGGGAGGTGAAAGAGTTGTTAGCTATTTTGAACACTTAGTTCAAACCTTTCTTACCAGAATGTAGGGTATGTGACCCAGTGTGTCCCTTCCCTGCTCCCTCCCTTTTAACTATCTCTGCCCCTAAACAGGTAAAAGGGAAGCTAGAAGACTTCTTAATAGTCATAGGGTGTGGCCCAGAAAATACTGTGTGTACATGTACCTGTAATTACTAGTAAATAAATGAGTCTAGGATTTATCCATTTCATAGGGAAATAAATGGGAGAGAGGTGGTACAAAATCCACAGGTCTCCATGCTCATGTGAAACTGGGTCTCTGTGCTAAGGGCTTAACACTGTTGACCCCCCTATGTCACAGGAATGAGGCCCTGCCCCTCTGAGGACTGAGGATAGGGGGAGGACCAGGAACACTTGCTCTTTTGCTTTACCCCTCCCCGCAGTGCCCAGTCCCTGTCTGTTAACCTTAGTCTGTCCATGTGCCTGAGGCCTCACCTGGAAGGGCCTTTTGTACGCACATGCTGCCTTTATTATTTTGCATAACGGAGGCCCCTCCATCTATGGACGTCTTCCAGCACTCTGCAGAGGCTCAGTGGACTTTCGGCCTCCCTTGAGGACGGCATGCTGTCTGCACTCAGTCCTGCAGGTTGCTGTTTGGGCCTCTGCTGACAGTGCCACTCCAGGGGTGTGCGGGCAGGGAAGGCGAGTTGGAGTCTTCCTTAACAGAGTCCCACGGACTACATCCAGCACCTGGGTTCTGCTCTAGCAAACCTGAGCCCCTGCTCCATCCCACACAGGATTTACCGCCAGGCCCACAGCCTGCTCTGCAGCTTCCTGCCATGGTCGAGCATCTCCACCAAGGGTGGCATTGAGTACAGCCGGACCATGTGATGCCAGCCGGGCAGCCTCCAGCAGGTCCCACCCCTTGGCGCCCTGCGGAGCCCACCTTCCTGGCCATTTGACCTCAACTGTGTTCTGCAGAGGAGCTGGCCCATCACCTGCCCCAGCCGCAGGCCCGGTGCTACATGGGCTCGGGAGCAGAGCGTCATGGGGCGGGTATGCCTGGTCTCCAACAGGTATGCCAGAACAGGTGGTGGGGAACAGGGGATCAGAACTGAGTGGGATGATGGTCTTGAGAAATGGAGGCCTGGCACTTCCAACAATAAAAACAAGGCTCTGGATAGGTACCTGCTGCACAAAGGGCTGAGGTAGTTCCTGAGCAACTCTCAGAAATTTGGAGGAGGATTGCCCTAGCTGGTTTGGCTCAGTGGATAGAGCGTCAGCCTACAGACTGAAGGGTCCTGGGTTCAATTCCTGGTCAAGGGCACATGCCTGGGTTGTGAGTTCGATCCCCGGTAGGAGGCGCCAGGAGGCAGCCAATCAGTGGTTCTCTCTCATCATTGATGTTTTATCTCTCTCCCTCTCTCTTCCTCTCTGAAATCAGTAAGATTATATATATATATATATATGAAATTTGAAGGAGGAAAGCAGAGTCCTGAGCCCTTGCCCAGAACCTCATCTTTTCCCTTGAACAACTTTAAAAAAAATAATGCACTCACAGAAATGGAAAAGGTACCAAAAGATCAAGCCCTTTCTCTGCCCCCACCCCGCCATCCATAACCACTTATTGCCTTTCCCAGGGGTGCCTGGAGCTGATGTCCAGCTTTAACCCCAGCGGCATCATCACTTCACAATGAAGTTCCCTGAGGTGGGCACCTTATAGATGAGGGTTCTGTTCACACATGGCCACTTCTTTTTTTTCAAAATAATAGCTTTATTTTTATTATGATTATAAACATGTTACATGGTCATTACTTTAAAACTCAAACCATGTAGAAAAGTGTGAAGAAAAAAGTAAAACCTCATCACTGAGAGAAAACCACTAATATTTTGGTAAACCTCTTTTCAAACATATTTGTATGCCTATAAACCTATACAGACATAAAGATATAGACATGGCCACTTCTGAACACCATGAGTACTATGGGGAGCCAGTCTCTCTCAGACCTCGGAGAACATCAGAGTTGGAAAGGGTCATGGGGACCCCAGGGCTCATCCGCTTATGCATGGACACGGCCTAGAGCAGATTGTTGATTTGAGCCAAGCTCACACAGCGTGCTCCATGGCCACTTAGGCTGGCATGCCCAGTGCCTTGATTTGTGCTGGGACTAAGGAACCCAGATGTCACTTAAAGGGACTCTGGGTCTAGAGAAGGGTTCACCCTTCGGGGGCACCCAGGGCCAGCAGTGGGTTCCTAGGCCGGACATAGTGTGGGCATAGTGTTTCTGTGGAGACCTTCACCCCTGCTCCCCTCTTCTCTTTCCTGCAGGCTCTTCCAGCCCTCCTTCCTGCTCTGGAAACCTCTGCCCTTGCCCTGGCCTGGCCCCCATGTGAGTGCACCAGCCTCATAGGCTGGCCACAGTGTTCACTGTGGTCAGTTGCTTCTGCTGCCCTGGGAGTATGGGGGCAGGAGAGGGCTTCCTTCCCTGCACGTCCTCACTGGCCTCTTCCGCCGCACTGCCCGTTCCTTCCAACTCCTTCCTCCAAAGCCGGAATTAACTCCTGGGAGGGAGAAACCCAAGTATTACAGATAGACTTGGCCCTAAAGACACAGGAGCCTCAGAACAATGAAGGGGCGAAATAAAGGGAATGCCAAACCCTTGTAAAGAACCAGCCTCAGAAGCGTGGCGGGCAGGAGCAACCCCTACCTCCCCAGGAGGGGCTGGCGAGTGGTGGGAGGCTTTTCACCCAAGCACAGAGCTCTGGGGCTTAGTTCCCTGGCATGGTGGTCAGTTAATGGGAAGGTTTCCCACTCCTCTGTTGGTAGTCCTGCTGCCTCAGAGAGCGAGGAGCTACCCATCACATGCTGGATGTGCCATTCAGTTGAACTGCCCCAGGGAGCCAGGCTGAGGACAGGTGTTGGTGAGGGTCCCAAGGGCCTCCCCTTCCAGCCCCCCAGGTCCGTGAGATGCAGTTCTGGGAACTGACCATATGCAAACAAGAAGAATTGAGTGTGGTGTCTGATCAAGTAGGACCTGGTCTTTGAGGCTGGGGCAGTCGCTTGCCTTGTGGTCCTCAGCCTCTGGGAACAGAAGAGGCTGTGTCAGTGCCAGGAAGCATGCATGTGGACATCACTTGCTTCTGGCGTTCCCTCCACCCCATCCCCCAAAGCTGCTTGCTCCCTGCCCTCCAGAGTAAAGGGGGTTGGCAGAGTCGTTATGTGGTTTTTATTTCTGCCCCATGGGGTAAGGGAAGAGTCTTCCAGAAGGTTCTGCCTTGGACTTGCATAATTGAGCCGAGGCCTTGCCCTGCCCCTTCCTCCTTGCCCCTAATCACGGCAGTGTCTAGCCCAGTGTTGAACAGATTGTAGTGTTCTGATTACAAACAAATAAATAGACTTTAATTGGTCACAACCTGTCTTGCACTTTGGGCCATTCCTGTGGGGATTTGTCCCCTTGCTGGGACAGTGGTTTTAGGTGGCCCAGGAGCTGCTTGTTGGTTGCTGTCTAGTCCCGAGGATGGCTTCCAGGTAAGGTAAAAGGACCGATTGTGTCATTATCCTGCCAAAGAATGCAGTCCTGGGAAGAGGGTCTAGAGTCGAAAAGCACAACTGGGTTCTTTCTCTAAACTCAGAAGATCCTCAAGCAGCTGCCCCCATTTGTTTAGGGGTCTCCTTGGCCAACCTTAGGCCTTGAGCTGGGGCACAGTCCTCTGGGGGTCGCCATCCTGGCTTAGAGAAGGCTCGATAGGTGACTCAATGCAGTGGTCAGGTAGGAACCCTGGGCCAGTGCACCTTGCCACAGGAGCCGGGGGGACTGGGACCTTTGGTCCAGGGCACCTCATCTTGGGAGCCTGAGGTTGGCCAAGTCTGGGATCATGTGCTCCCAGCAATCTCTCCTTGGAGTTTCTGGCCACCCTGGCCATGGAGCCATGCTAGTCGCCCCTTTAGACAGATGAAAACTGGTTCAGGGGTCGGCAGTTACCCAGGAGCCACGCAGTTCTTGAACGGCCCCTCCAAAACCTGTGTGTGTACTGTTCCCTTGACGGCGCATCACCCAGACAGCCCTCCCCAGGACAGGTCCTGAGGCACCTGTAGAGGTGGGTGTCAGGGAGCCAGCCCATGGGGTTGTATGGAGGCTGGAGGCATTGTATGTTTCAAGGTCAGTGAACTGGCCTGGTCTCTGAGTCCTAGCAGCATCCTAATGCTGTGAGTTACACCCTTGCTAATTGAGGCAGATACACCTTGTTTAATGGGTCAGCTTCAGGATTAAGGGGTGACTCCTTGGGGCCCTTGGTTAGTCATGTGGCCTAGTATTAACTTGCAAGGGTGGGTAGGGGCAGGGGTTCTGGTGACCGTGGTCCTAAAGGTAACTGCCCTTCCAACCCATCAGGCTTCAAGGATAGGCTCCCAAAGGCTGAGACTGGCTCCTGGTGGCCCAGTTCCAAACCCACTGGCCATTCAGGGAATGGGGTGAGGATGCCCCAGGTTGTCAGTGTGCATTTCCACAAATGTCTGCTTGTTTGAGGCTCTGGGTGCTCCTTCACATCAGTTCCCTGTCCCAGCATGCCATGGCCATGGCTTTCCACTTGTCAGCCTCTTTGGAGTGCTTTTCAGAAAAGCTTTGGGAGGTTTAGGGAAGAACCGTTTAGAGATCAACTCAGCTGCAGCAGATGTCCTTCCTTGAGGGAGAGAGTAGGCTGTGGTTTGTCTGCCCTCCATGCTTCAGCAAGGGTGGCTTAACAGGCTGAAGGATGCACTCCCAAGGTGGTTCAGAGGGCAGTGGTGGCCTCCCTGGTGTGGGTTGGTTTCCCACCATGTGGGGGCTCTTTATGTGGATACTGACCCCCCACCACCACCACACACACACACTAGAAGCCACCAGGCTTCCTTCATGCCAGAGTGATGCCAAGTTACTTCTACCACATCTATTGTGGTAAAGCAAGACCCAGAGCCAGTCCCAAGTCAAGACAGGAAGTGATACACAGAGTCAGACCACCGGGATGTGGCCCAGTGGAGGCCACCACAGACTGGGCATCCTCAGATCTGAACCCTGGGGGCAGTCTGGAAGGAACCCAGCTCTCCTGGTCTCCAGAATCATAGACACTATCACGTGGGTATGGCAGGAGTCCCCCAAAGGGGCTTCCAACCCAGGCTGCCAGGACTGGAAGTCAGCCAGACAGTGAGGGTCACTGAGGCCAACCTTGGTCTTCCCATCCTCTCCCCACAGGGCTGAGGCCTAGTGACATAGACCAGGAGTGATTCTACCCCCAGGGGATATTGGACACTATCTGGAGACACTTTTGGTTGTCACAGTTTGGAGGAGGGAGCTAGCTGAATCTGGGTAGAGACTGCTGACACTGCTCAACATCCTACAACACACCTGATGGCCCCCACCACAAAGAATGATCTGGTCCCAAATAGCAACAGGGCCAGGACATGGAAACTTGCTCTCAGTGCCAAGGGGCTGTTTCTCTAACAGAACTGGCCTGATGACAGACGGAGGGACAAAGGTGCATGTGGGCTTGGCTTTTATTGAGATTAGACCAGCAGGCTCCCCAGTCTCTTTGGGAGCCTCTCTCTCCACTCAGCCCGGCGTCCCAGGTACAAGTGGTTTCCTTGAGTTGGAGCAGGCTGCAAGGGCATGCCCAGGCTTCTATTTTTTTCTGTCCCTCCCTCAGGACCTCTTCTTCCTCCCCTCGAGTTTTCCCAAGGTTGGCCCAGGCTCTGGTGCTGGGCATCTGCAGGTGTCTCCATCTGGGGGGGCTAGTGGTGGGGCTGAGCCCTTCCTCTCTGGACCTGCCTCCTCCGCCTCTTCCTGGGCCATCTTTCCCCTCCTGTCCTGAGCTGTGAAAACCGCACTCGGATCCCTACGGCCTCTCCAGAGCCCCAGAGCAGATTCTCTTGCACAGTGGACAGGTGGGCTCCTCTGAGGCCTCCCAGGATCTCTTGGGGCGGAACCCCAAGCCTTCATGGGTACCAGGCTGGGAGGGGGCACCCTTGGCTGGATCCATGCTGGAACTGGATCCTGAGGAGAGGGGAGGGAGGAGTTACTTGGAGGGCCCAAGGGGAGGCTGCCAGCCTATCTTCTCCGATGATGCCCCCTCCAGAACCTGACACCTTTAAAACAGGAGTGGAAGGGGTAGGGGTGGGGGTCTTCTTAAAGATAATCCACGAGGGAGGGAGGGAGGAGGAGGAACAGGGAAACATGGTTCAAGTTCTTCATCTGACCCAAACCCTTCATTTTATTAATGGGGAAAAAGAGGCCCAAATAGAAGTGGGGGAGCTTGTCGGTTGCAGAGATGGCACAGAAACCCTGAGGCTTGGGAGTGGGGCAGGGCCCATCTGCATCCATCTGAGTCTCCAACCCACCCCTTCCCTGGGTCTCTCCCTCCTGCATCACCTAGACAGGTGCTCACCTGTATTTCCCAGGCTGTCCCTGGGCAGTTGAGCTTCCAGAAGGGCTGAACGGTGGCTGCTACCTGGGTTCAGAGTCCCCTGTGGCAGGTCCAGGGGCCAGGCCATGCCCTCAGGCCATGGGAGGCAGCCCCCAGCCATGAGCCGGCCCAGCCAGTGACTCTCACACTGGCCAGCAGGCTGCATGTGGCCTGGTAGGTAGAGTGCCAGGCCCCGGAGGTGGCGCAGCCGGAAGTTCTTGGGCTTGCTTCCCTGGGCACTGGGACACTGCTGCTGCTGGGCCCCCAGCCCTCCTTCGTAGATGTTGGATGGTGTGTCGGGGTGACCGGGGAGTCCTTGGGCCCAGCTCACGGAATCTGTGGAGGGGAAAGCAGGAGGGTGGTGTCCGCAGGCCACAGCAGCCATGATGGGAGGACAACACATCACACGCTCATGTGCTGGGCCCCATGTCAGCCTGCCAAACCCCAGCTTACCTGTCTGTCAAGTGGACTAAAATCCTTACCTCCAGCCTCCCCTGACCCAAGGTATTAATCTTCTCTCCTCTCCCAGCCAACAGGGAGGTCTGAGAAGCTTTAGCGTTGGCACCAAATCCTCTTTCAGGTCTTCAAGTCCTCCTGCCACCCTCCCCTTTTTTTGGTTAATCTTCACCCGAGGATATTTTTTCCCATTGATTTTTAGAGAGAGTGGAAGGAAGGGAGGAGAGGGGAGGGGAGGGAAGTGGGAAAGAGAGAGAGATGTGAATGAGACACATTGGTTGCCTCCCACAGGTGACCCAACTGGGCTGGCAATTGAACCTGCAACCCAGGTACGTACCCTTGACCGGAAATCGAACCCGTGAGCCTTCAGTGTATGGGTTCTAACCACTGACCATACTAGACCCATTTTCCCCCCTAACCTAGATCACTGTGGTATAGAAGTTCACAGTGGGTTCAGAATCACACAGTCCAGGTCACACGTCCTGGACCAGTGGCCATTCCTCTCTCCCAAGTATACATGTCCCTGGTGGCTTTGGGCCCACGTCAGGACAGTAGGACATCTCTCTTCCTGCCATCCTTTCCCATAGCCCCACACCTTCTCTTATGTGCAGCTCAGAGAACGCACAGACCAAGGCTTCCATTGAGGGCCAGTTTGGTGGGGGAGGAGTGGCCCAGCCTCCTGTGCAGCAGGGCTCTGCTCTCCCCTGCCTAGGGGGTGGGTCTACAGGTTTCCCTTAGCAACCAGCTATGTGATGTCACAGGGAAGCCTTCCTGGACCCCCTGAGATAGAGGTAGGATTATGCCCTGGACAGAGACAAGGTGGGAGGAGAGCAAGGGAACGGGGCAGAACCTGAGAGGAGGTTCCTGGTCCCTCTGGCTTGGGACAGGCCATACAAAACAGACTCAGCTCTTGCAGGCTGAGGAGTCACTTCCAGAGGTGACCTCATGGGAATCTCAGTTTTCTCTTCTGTGGTTGGGAAATGAGGTTTAGGGGTACAGACTTAGTGAAACCTGGGTCAGTGCTTTGAGCACGCTGATAAGGTGGTTCTAGTGGGTAAGTCACAAGTTGGTTTGGGGTTTTTTTAGTCACAACTTTTTAAACTATTTCCCCATAAGTAAAGTAGGGGTATTGTGTGGCTCATACCAAGTGTGAAGAAATATTGTGGAGGAACTACAGCACTTATATGCTACTGGGGGGAATGTAAAATGGCACCACCACTTTGGGAAACAATTTCTTAAAAAGTTAAAACTTTCAAATAAAAGGCATCCAAATTGGAAAGGAAAAAGTAAAACTTTCATTATTTGCAGATGTCATAACTACATATATAGAGAAACGATATTAGAAATGGTAAATAAATTCAATAAAATAGGGTACAAAATTAATATTCAGAAATCAGTTGCATTTTTGTATACTAATAATGAACTATTAGAGAAATTAAGGAAACTACCATTTACAATTGCATCAAAAAAAATAGGAACAAATTTAACACATGAGGTAAAAAAAGCTATACTTGAAAAATTATAAGACATTGAAGAAGATACAAATAAATGGAAGTATATACAAGAAGAACTTAACATAGTTAAAATGTCCTTATTTCCCAGATCTATGGTTTAAAGCAATCCCTATCAAAACACTAGGGCATTTCTCACAGAACTAGACAATCCTCAACTTCATGTGGAACCACAAAAGACCCCAAATAGTCAAAGCAACCTTAAGAAGGACAAAGTTGGGCTGTGCTCTTTCTCTGGAGCACTCCCATGCTTTCCCCTTTCTTATTTCCCCAGGCATGTTACCTTTGCCTTTCTTCTAAGTTATAAAGGCCCTTTTTTGACTCTATAACTTGTTTCCTGAGACTCTGCAGCCCAGCTGGCTCACTTTTTCTACCTCTGTGACCTTCTAAATAAACTTTTGCTTGTAAAAGGAAAAAAACAACATCCAAAGTTGGAGGAGGTATTGTGCTACTTGATCTCAAACTATACTACAAGACTATAGTAATCAAAACATTGTACTGGCATAAAAACAGACACACAGATCAGAATAAAGAGCCCAGAAATAAACCCACATCTATATGGTCAATTAATCTATGACAAAGGATGCAAGAATATACAATGAGGTAGACAGTCTCTTCAATAAACGGTGCTGGGGAAACTGGACAGGTATATGCCAAAAAAATACACCTAGACCACTTTCTTACACTATATACAAGAATAAACTCAAAATTGATTAAGTGTAAGACTTAAAACCATAAAACTAGAAGAAAACAGGCAGTAAACTCTGACATTGCTCTTAGCAAACATTTTTTGGATATGTCTCAATCGGGCAAGGGAAGCAATCCAACAAAAAATAAATGGGTCTACATCAAACTAAAAAGTTTTTGCGCAGCAAAGGAAACCATCAACAAAAAGACGACCTACTGAGTGGGAGAAAATATTCACCAATGATACATCAATAAGGGGTTAATATCCAGATATAAGGAACTCATACAATTGAGCACCAAAAAGATTTAAAAATGGGCAGAGGACCTGAATAGGCATTTCTCCAAAGAGGACATACACGTGGCCAATCCTATATAATAAAAGCCTAATATGCTAAGTGTCTGGTCGTTTGGTCGTCTGTTCAACCAATCAAAGAGTAATATGCTAGTGACATGCTAAGGCCACTCAACTGCTCGCTATGATGTGCACTGACCACCAGGGGGCAGACGCTCCAACCAGAAGGTTAGCTTGCTGCTGGGGTCCAATCAATAGGGACTGAGGGAGACAGACTGGACATGGCTTGGAGCCCTCCTGTGGTCCCTTTCCACCTGGCCAACCTCCCTCCTCCCTCCCCGGCCTGATCATGTACTGGTGGGTTCCCTCGGCCTGGCCTGTGCCCTCTTGCAATCCCGCCTGAGGGATCCCCCACCCCTGAGTGCACGAATTTCATGCACCAGGCCTCTAGTAAGATATAAGAAAAGATGCTCAATGTCGCTAATCGTAAGGGAAATACAAATTTAAACTACAATGGGACATCACCTCACAATTGTCAAAATGGCTGTTATTAAATCAGCAAGTGTTGGTGAAGATTTGGGGAAAAGGGAACCTTTGTGCACTGTTAGCAGCATTACAAATTGGTGCAGCTACTATGGAAATAGTATGAAGTCCTCAAAAATTAAAAATAGAGCTATCATATAACCCAGCAATTTCACTTCTGGGTATTTATCCAAAGACATCCAAAATACTAATTTGAAATGATATATGCATTCCTATGTTTATTGCAGCATTATTCACAATAACCAAGATATGGAGGCAATCTAACTGTCCAGTGATAGAAGACTAAAGATGTTGTATATATGGGGAATATTACTAGGCCATAAAATGAATGAAATCTTACCATTTATGAAAACATGGATGGACTCAGGGTATTATGCTAAGTGAAGGAAGTCAGACAGACAAAGACAAATGCCATGTGACTTCACTTATATGTGAAACCTAAAAAACAAAGTAAATGAACTAATAAGAGAGAAACTCATAGATACAGAGAACAAACTGATAGTTGCCAGATAGGGAGTTGAGGGACATGATTAAAAAAAAAAAAAGCGAAGGGCTTAAGTACAAATTGGCAGTTAACAAAATAGTCATGGGAGCCCTGGCCGGGTGGCTCAATTATACCAAGGTTGCGGGTTTGATCCCTGGTCAGGGCACATACAAGAATCAACCAATGAGTGCATAAATAAGTGGAACAACAAACAGGTTTTTCTCTCATCAGTTTTTAAAAAGACATGGAGATGTAACATAAGCCTAGGAAGTATAGTCAATAATATTGTATCTATTAGTGGTGTCAGGTGGGCACTAGACTTACTGGGGGGATCACTTATAAGTTATATAAATGTCTTATTATGCTATACACCTAAAACATATAATATTGAATGTCAACTGTAACTGAGAAATTAATGTTAAACTTTCAATTCTATCAATTCACAGATAACATGATCTTACATAGAGAAACATTAGTTCACACTCAAAATTGTTTGAGACAGTGAAACTATTAGACCTAATAATAAAGTTGAGCAAAGTTGCTAGATATAAGATCAACACAAAAGTTGTATTTCTATACACTGGCAAAAGAACAAAAAGAATAAAACCGGAATAAATTTCACCAAGGAATTGCAAGATAATAGTGAAAACTAAAAAACATTGCTGAAAAAAATAAAGACGACTTATAAAATGGAAAAACATTCCTGTTCATGAGTTGAAGGCTTAATATTGTTAAGACAGCAGTATTCCCTAAAGTGATCTACAGATACTTTGAAAATCCTAATGGTCGTTTAGCAGAAACAGGAAAGCTGATTCTAAAATTCATGTGGAATTACAAGGGAGCCCAAATAACCAAAAACAATTTTTAAAAAGAATTTAAATTTAACCAAAATAGTATGGAACCAGCATAAGGATAGACATCACAACCAATGTAACAGATTAGAGAGACCAGAAATAAAGCAATATATCTATAGTCAATTGATTTTCAACAAGAGTGCCAAGACTATTCAAAGGGGTAAAGAATTTCTTCAACAAATGGTGCTAGGGCAATGGATAGCCACATGCAAGAGAATGAAGTTTGACCCCTATCTCACACCATGTACAAAAATTAACTCAAAAATACATCAAAGACCTAAATGTAAGAGCTAAAAACTCTTAGAAGAAAACATAAATCTTCATGAGCTTGGTTTTGGCAACGAACTGTTAAAGTTATGACAAAACTACAAGTAAAAGAAAAAATAAATTTGACTTCATAAAAATTTAAAATGTTGCTGCTGCAAAAGGCACTCTCAAGAAGTAAAAGCTTACAGAATGTGATAAAATATTTGCAAATCATATATCTGGTAAGTGTGTAGTATGCAGAATATATAAAGAAGTCTTATAATTCAACAACAAAAAGACAACCCAATTTTAAAATGGTGAAGTTGAATAGATATTTCTCCAAAGAAGATATACAAACTGTCAACAAGCACAAGAAAAGATGCTCAACAGTATTAGTCATTAGGGAAATACAATTTAAAACACAATGTGATAACTACTACTTACCCATGAGGATGGATATAATTAAATTTAAATAAATTGAGAAATGTTAACGAGGATGTGGAGAAACTGGAATCCTCCTACACTACTAAGTGGGAATGTAAAATGGTGGAGGCAGTAATGTACAAAAGTTCAAGTTGGTACACGTCCTTTTAAGCTGTTCCCACTGTGAGGCTTTTTGTTGTTTATTTGTTATTTTAGCCATACAAATAACTAGTGATATGTTATTGTGGTTTAATATGTGCTTTCCTAACGACTAATAACCTTGAGCATCTTTTGCTTTGCTCATTATTTGCCGTATATCTTCTTCTTTGAAGTATCTGTTTAGATTTTTTGCCCACTTCCTAATTGGATTGAGTTTTGAGAGATCGTTATGTATTCTGGATAAAAATTTTCATCAGATGGTTTGTGAATATTTTCTTCTAAACCACTGTGATTACCCTTTCATTTTCTTTGTTTTGTTAATATTCACCTGAGGGTATTGATTTTGAGAGAGAGTGGAAGGGGGGAGGGGGGAGAGAAAGAGGAGAAAAACATCAATGTGAGAGAAACGTGTTAGTTTGGTTGCCTCCCGCACGCACCTGGGCTAGGGATCAAGCCTGCAACCAAGGCACGTACCCAGCACTGGAATTGAACCTGGGACACTTCAGTCCTCAGGCTGATGCTCTATTCACAGAGTCAAACCGACGAGGGCTAGTCTTTCATTTTCTTAAAGTACCTTACCCAACTGGTGAGGCTCAGTGGTTGACCATCCACCTATGATCAGGCGGTCAGGGCTGGATTCCTTCCGGTCAAGGCACATGCCCAGGTTGCCAGCTCTGTCCCCATTGAGGAAGGGGAGGGTGTGTGTGTGTGTGTGTGTGTGTGTGCAGGAGGCAGCCAATCAACGATTCTCTCATCAATGTTTCCCTCTCTCCCTCTCTCCCTTCCTCTCTGAAATAAATTCAAATACATTTTTAGAAAAGTGTCTTGAAGAGAAGTTTTAACTTTATATGAAGTCCAGTTTACTTAAAATTTTTTTTGGTTTATCTAAGAAATCCTGCTTAATCCAGTCACAAAGCGTTCCCGTAAGTTATCTTCTAGAAAAGTTAGTTTTTTTGGTTTGGTTTTTTTTTTAACTTAAAAATACTTGATTGAGCACTTGATATAAACAGTAGTTTATTGTAAGGTGACAGTTTTATATTTAGGTAATTGTGAAGGTTCATTTACTTGGATTCCCAATTAATTGTTTCAAACCATTCACTGAAAGACTATTCTTTCTCCTCTGTAGTGCTCTGTCACCTTTGTCGTACTGACCACATGTGTGTGGATGTATTTGGGGGCTCTCTTTACCGTCCGTGCATTTATGTGTCTGTTACTTCGCCAACACCGATACTAGGGCGGAGGACATCGCAGCGGTTGGCAGTCCCTCCTTCTCTCCCATCCTTCCAACCTCAGCTCACTTCATCTCCCAGCTCTTCTTTTCACCTGTCCTCCTCCAGAGCAGCCGAGGGAAGGCTCCCAGCTGAGGCCCGAGCGGATCTGGCCGGGAGTTGGGGCGCTGTCCTCACCCTGGAGCCTTCCGATCCCTCAACAAGGCGCACAAACGCTCCCCGACGGAGGGCATGGTTACCAGGACAACCGCTGGCGCGCGAGGACCCAGACCGATTTCCGGCCTGTTGTGAGAACAAGCCCGGTGCGCGTGCGCAGTTCCAGGCCTGACACGCTCTCGCGATACCGCGGTCAGCCCCGGCATTCCATCTGAAGTTCGGGGTTATGGCTTTTAAAGCTGCGGTCTGTGTTCGGGGGCTTCGGACGCGGCCACAGCTGGCAGTTTACACATGCCAGAGAGAAGTGTGCTGGGCAGGGGATACCCAGCTTCGTGACAGTATCGTGTGTTCTTTCAAGAGGAGTTGAGGAGGAAATGGGAAGCAGTATGTAGAACGTCTAGCATAGTTTCAGATACATAATAGGTGCTTAGGACGTGTCAGCCAGTGTCAAATGTCTCTCTGCAAGATGTTGAAGTGGGGTAAAGGGGACTCGGGTGCCCTGCGGTTTGAAGCTCCCGGTCGGGCGGTAATCCCGCACCTCCGTCCTGGGGTCCCGAGGCATCCCCAAGCCCGCCTCCCCTTCTCTTGCGCATGCGCGCGCAGTCCGGCCGCTTCGCCTTCCGTTTTGTTTGGCCCCTGCTGCGCGCCGTAGAGAGCTCCGTGCGTTGCCATAGAGACACCTGAGCACTGAGTTGGGGGCGCCTGAGACTCCGGGCTAGTGGAGACCAGAGCACCATGTCCTTCCGTGACCTCCGCAGTAAGGCAACCCTGCCCCTTGTGACCTGCGGCCTCCCAAGAGACAGGGGCTCCGGCCGCCGGGTTCTCTCCTCTGGGCCCCGCCGAGCGCCTCTGGCCTCTGCGGTCCTGGCCTCTGCCGCCCCAACCCGTCCCGGGCAGAGCGCCCCGGCCCTGGCCCAGCACTTTCTGCGGTGATGGGAAGTTTTGTATCTGCCGCTCGCCTTGGCTCGTGCGGCTGAGGAACTGAAGTTTTACTTTTATCTGATTTTAACTGATTTGTATAGCCACGTCGCTACCGTATTGGAAAACGCAGAAACCGTTTTGGGGTTGAGTTAGGTTAGAGCCTTGAGAAACGAACAATAAAAGCGGGGCGGGGGGCGGGGGGGGGGG